AGAATGAAACAAACTGAAGAAATAAAATGTAACACAAATGATTTTGTCCATGTGACATGCAACATTTTATATTTTCTGTTGGAAAAGGAGCAGGTAGAAGATATAAAGTCCTGCCCCTTTCCTACATGTCTGTATTATCAATTAACTTTCAGAACATCAAAAAGAGACAACTTGTTTCCATTTTACATCATGTTTGACTATGTAAAATTATTTTAAGTACTATTTATATCATCAATTACATTATAGACTATTGAACATTAGCATATTTTGAAATGAGCTCTGCTTTGATCAGTTTTTTAAATTGTTTTACATTTGTAATTTTTTTAACTCATCATTCACTGATAAACAAAAACTCTTCCTGGTTGTTCTAATATGTTGTTTTTTTAAATATCCTTCACCTCTTAAATTATAACGCCCCTCTCTGTCACCAAACATTTCCTGTGTGTTGTGTGGAAGTTTTTGATTTCGGACCTTAAACATGGATTGTGTAGTTTTTAAATATCACCAGGTCCCAGAATGTCAGTATATTTGATTGAATGAATAACTGGTTTGTGTGTTCCCAGTATCCCAGAGTTGTGCAGGTATCTTTAAAAAATATAAAACTACAAACTAATTTTCCCAATCTACTTGTTTTTTTTTATTTTATTTTTAGAATAACTAACGAACATTGCTGCGATATAACTGTATTTGTACTGGTTCCAGGAGTTAGTCGGGTCCCTCCCAGCTGTTATTACAGCCTTACTTGGCCAGCCTGTTGGTGAGGCTGCAGCCTGTGTGGTTCTGGTTCTGGTTCTGGTTCTGATAGTTAAGCCATAAACGCAGAGTTAAGTGGAAGCTTCAGGTCAGGGTCTATGGGCGGTTCTGTGACATCAGAATGTGGGGTATTTGCAGCAGAACTCTGGTGAGTAAAACACAAGCTAACCAACGCTCCGTGTTTGTAACAGTGAAGCTAACAGTTTGAATGACGTCATTTATTTGTTTGTTATAAACACCTCCGCTGATGTGTGTGATCCACTCTGACGCTTTATTCTTTTTAATGCTTTATAACTAGCGGTGTTGTTAGCTAACGGTTAGCAAGGTTTACTTACTTACTTAGTTAGCTAGCCTCAGTGGCTAACGCTTAACTTATGCTAACTGAACTGGGTCAAAGGTGAAACTGGATACGCAGAGAGTAAAAACAGCTAAAAATGTTACATAAAACTGTGAAGCTAACAGCTCCAATTAAAGCCACTTATTTTATAAACATTTCTTCTGTGCGAGACATTTATCCACTTTTATGAATATTAGATATTTCAGACTGAAATCCAGCGGCGTTAGCAAGGTTTACCTGAAAGTGAACGGTAACCGGTTAGCTTCAGGAGCTAGTTAGCTTCGGTGGCTAACGTTCAACTGATGCTAACAGAACTGGGTCAAAGGTGAAACAATGATCAACTGGAAATAAAAACAGCTGAAACGTGAACTAATCTTTTATTTAAGAGTAGTTTTATGGTTAGTAAACAAAAAAATAACTTTTAATCAAAATTAGTTTATTTAGTTTAGTTTTTTAGTAGACAAACTAAAAATTTAAATGTAATATTTAGCATATTTTGCAGTAAAACAGCTCACAGGATGAGGGAATATTTTTAATTTAAATATTTATATTTAAAGATTAAATATTAAAGTCAGTGGGCTCATTAAATGTTATATTTTACCTGTCAGAATAATTAAAGTTTTTGGTTACATTCTGGTTTTAGGTGAAAAAACAACACAATGAAATATGTTGTGAGTTGGATTTGTCTGTTTTTTAAATCTAATTTTTTATTTTATGTTTTTTTGTCCCGTCTGAAGGCCGACTTTACTTCCTGAAAGATCAAAGTTTTAAAGTTTTAACACGTTAACCTGACCCAGGTGTGAACCCAGGAGACACAAACAAATAAAAACCTTCAGAGTTTGACTCACTTTGTGTTTTCAGACCTGAAGGTCCAACAGAACCTGTCCGCTCACGTCTCTGCCTGTGATCTGACCTGTGTTTGTCCTGGGAAGGTGGGGATGGCGAAGACCTGTGGACTTGGGAGACCACGTCACCTGGTGAAGCCCGTGTCTGCCACCCGGGTCGCCGGCAGGTACCTGACCCACCAGAGGGGGCTGCCGGCTCTGCCCGTGCCCCCCCTGCAGCAGACCTGCGAGCGGTACATCACTGCCCTGGAGCCCATCCTGGAGACGGACGAGCTGACCCGGACCAAAGAGCTGGTCCAGGACTTCCAGAAACCCGGAGGAGTCGGGGAGCGGCTGCAGAAGGGCCTGGAGAGGAGAGCGGGCCGAACGGAGAACTGGGTAAACCCTCAGACCGGTTCTGTTTGGACCAGTTGTTCTTGACAAGTGGACTCCTGTCAGCTAGTGTTTAGCTCATTTAGCCTTTAGCTACTGTGCTGTTTAGCTTTTAGCTAGCGTTCTGCTTGATTTCACTTCTTTCACAAGTTTCAGTCATTGGACYGAATATTCTCCTAAAAATATAACTTTTCTTCCAGCAGTTTGAAAAACAGTTTAAACAAATTATTTTTCTTTAAAGACTTTAACTCTCCTTCCTCCTCTAASAGAAAATAATTTGTGATGATCTGTCTCTGCAGCTCTCTCAGTGGTGGGTTCAAGTAGCTTACCTGGACTACAGGATGCCCGTGGTGGTCCACTCAAGTCCTGGTCTGGTTTTGCCCCGAATGAACTTCAGTGATAAACAGGGACAAATAAGGTGACAGAACTGGACTCAGGRTGGTTTCTGGATGAAGACATCTKTGGGTTAAAACTTGTTCCAGCAGGAACTGAATCTGAATGTTCATAAATTGAAATTGAATGAATTGGTTYSAAAATAAATTTCACTAAACTGAAACTGAATCTGAATTAATTTACTTTGAAACTGTATTTTGGTTTATTAAAACTTCAGTTTGACTACTTTCACTTTCAGTTCCATAATTCAGATGTTTGTGTCACATCCTGGTCCTTGAGAAAGCCAGGCAGAGTAATCAAACACAGATCCACAGATTTATGTTTCACTTTGGTGAAGTTTCCCTTCTGGATGTAACAGAGTTGATGCAATCCACTGTAAAAGTGACAAAAACACACAAAGTTATTTTATTGCAGTGATTAATTTGACCTATATGTAGAAAATGTTACATTTACATGATGACATCATGGATCAGTCAGCAGCAGCATCTGATCAACATGTGATCCATGATGTCATCATGTAAATGTAACATTTTCTACATATAGGTCAAATTAATCTCTACAATAAAATAACTTTGTGTGTTTTTGTCACTTTTACAGTGGATTGCATCAACTCTGTTACATCCAGAAGGGAAACTTCACCAAAGTGAAACATAAATCTGTGGATCTGTGTTTGATTACTCTGCCTGGCTTTCTCAAGGACCAGGATGTGACACAAAAATCTGAATTATGGAACTGAAAGTGAAAGTAGTCAAACTGAAGTTTTAATAAACCAAAATACAGTTTCAAAGAAAAGTAATTCAGATTCAGTTTAAATTTAGTGAAATTTATTTATTATTTATTATGAACATTCAGATTCAGTTCCTGCTGGAACAAGATTTAACCCACAGCCGTTCTTCATGTTGTTTAATTCTGATCCAGGGTTCTGGCAGTCTCTTTGGTTCTGATTGGTTTTGTTTGGTTCTGTTTGGTTCAGGTTTGCAGCCAAACTGATAGCCGGTGTTCTGGACTTTAAGACTATGATTGACAAGTAAGTGGTCTCCTTGTCCCGGTCTTGAATCTGGTTCCATCAGGGTCTAGATCCTGATCCGTGTCTTGCAGTGAGACTCTTCCTGTGGAGTTCCTGGGAGGGAAGCCTCTGTGTATGAACCAGTACTACGAGGTGTTCTCGTCCTGCCGGGTCCCGGGTCTGAAGAGGGACTCTGTGGTGAACCACGCCAAGAGCTCGCAGCCACCCAAACACATCACGGTGGTCCGCAACTTCCAGGTGAGGAGAGCCTGGGGTTACTGRGCCAGTCCCCCCGCTGGAGTCTAATCTGTGTTTGTGTTGGACCAGTTCTTTGAGCTGAACGTGTACAACAGAGACGGGACTCCTCTGAGCCCAGACCAGCTCTGCCTCCAGCTGGAGAGGATCTGCCGCGCCGCTCAGGAGACCAGCGCCGAGCCCGTCGGACTGCTCACCACCCTGCACCGAGACGTGTGGGCCAGGGCTTACCTGAACCTCGTTAAAGGTGTGTTCACTGACCTCTGACCTCGTTAAAGGTGTGTTTACTGACCTCTGACCTCGTTAAAGGTGTGTTCACTGACCTCTGACCTCGTTAAAGGTGTGTTCACTGACCTCTGACCTCGTTAAAGGTGTGTTCACTGACCTCTGACCTCGTTAAAGGTGTGTTTACTGACCTCTGACCTCGTTAAAG